AGTAGAATCGACAACAATTTAGTATTTTCAAGTGCAGTAAGGGAAAAAAGTAGAGATGATGATTTGGTTCAATCAGCAGTGGCATTGCTCTACAATATTGTATTTATATAGAAATCTCTGCAAGAAGGCTTTGCCATTGTTCTATTAACTTTCCTCTCCTCATAGTAGCAGCTAGAAAAAAAGAGTAGTAAGCAACATATGATAAACAACTATCTAAGGATGTTTTGAAAGAAAACACAAATGACAAGAAATTTTATGGTAGTAAAAAGTCATTAATTTTATATACATATTATACACAAGTTGCTACTTTTGGAAAAAGACTATGTGCATAAATGAGGTTTTGCTGTTATGACAAAATCTGAATTAAAGTTTGGTGGTCAGTCAAATGCTTTATGTGTTTAGGAATGTTCGAAATGTGAAAGAAAAAGTGTTGTTGATAAAATTAATGTATGCATTTTTAAAGTTCACCAAGTAGCAAAATGTTCAAGCATAAAATGTTCTGGTGTGTGTAACAAAAATTAAAATCATGTGTTGTTAATATAAAAAAACAATTGACTAATAACATTCAGAATTCTATTTTTTAGCTTATTTTATAATTATTAAATTTAATTTTTTTTAGTGGTTCCAGAAATGATAATTTTGAGAATCTGATTTCCTTACTTTTATTGGTTGAAAAATATTCCTTGGTTTGTACTGATTGGTTAGTTTATATTTTTGTGGTTAGCACCCAAAATTTGTTTCCTGTTTTGATTCTACCTATTTTACAAAAGTGATTTTTGCTTACTTGCTGTCTCAAAGTGAATATGTTCACAAAATGCTATAAATGATGATTGTTCAGTCACAAAAAAATAAAAATAAAAATGAATCCTTTGTCATTTAAATGCAAAGCCAACTGCCATCTTCTGTCTTCCTGAATCCTGTTCCTTTATTGTCCTTTCACTTTTGTCACTTTATGTAACCTCTTGTGTCTTAGTGGCATTATCACCTTGCTTGGGGGAGTGAAATGATTAAAAAAATATTTATGCATTCACAGTAGAAAAGTTGTTTTTTAGTTAAGGCTTTTTTAATTTATTTTTAAATGTCCTGTTTTTAAATTTTTCAATAATTTGAAGTTATGGCTACTTTGTCACCATATTAAAATTAAATATCAGAAATTATACAATCTTTGTAATTTACAAAGCAATTTAAAATTCTGGCTATTAAACCTTAACGTTATGAAATATGGAAAAATAAGAGTAAAATTAACTAATACTTTAACATATAAAAGGTTGTTTTGGTAGTAAAAGTATCTAACCTTGTAGTTGTATAAATGGAACATTAGTTCTGTGATAAAATCAGACATGGTTTCTTGAGTGCCCACCTTTGATTTGTATTTTTTTTCATCAATAGCAACAGTTTACTTCCTACTCTTATTCTACATGAAGTAAGAATGAACAATAAAGCCTATGTTTGTTCCATAATCAACTGAGTTTAAAAATGGTGAATGCATTTATCTTTCTCTTGATACACAACGATTAAAATTTTTATAAGAAATAATATTTATGCTAACATGTAGCCAAGTCAATGCAAGTGCAAAAATATACAGAAATCTGCCTAGATCTTGGTTTCCAAAAGATACTTGACAAATGCTGTCTGACCAGCATTTTCAGGAAAACAGCTAAGTGAATGCCAGAAAGATTTATCCTTAGAAAATAATGGCAAGGGAAAATGTTTGGTGACCAAAAATTGGAAAAAAAGATTAATTATGAACTCCAATAATATACAAAAATGGGTCATTTGTAGAAATGCTTAGATTAAAAAAATACAAGTTTAGAAAAAGAATGTTGAAGAGGAAGGATCTATGGGACTGATAGAACATATCCAGTTATTTAAAAGTACTGAATCCAAGTCATTAAAGTATAATGAAATTGAATGTATTGTTGTTATACATAATTATTAAAATCAGAAAGGCTGTAGAGTTCATGTCATTTTCATGGATTTAAACGTATAAATTGATATATATGAAATATTGGATGATTTCTTTCTGTTGGTCTTTTTACCACAATATTTTGGCTGACCCATTCTATAACCATTTTAGAGTGTATAATCTATATAGAAAGAGAGAAAATCTTTTTCTTAGTAGTATAAATAAGAAATTGGTAACTAACATCTTTTTTGTTTACACATCTGAAGGTGTCTATAGAATGCATTAGCTGATATGTTGTAGCAACTGCAACAAAAAAGAAGTTGAATAGTTTAAATAGTTCTTGGAATGAGAATAACTTTTCAAAATTGCAGAAGGTATGAACTAAAATAATTGGGTTATTCTAGATAATTCTATTTTCATTCCTACCCAAATGTTTTTTAACACATGAAGATAAAAATTTAGAAATATTTAACCAGGACTATGTTTATCATTTAGGAAGACAAATCTTCAAAGAGTGCCTTCTTAAGGTCAAGTGATAATCATGCGATAAAAGCATTAAAAATACAGTGAATAATCACAACATAGCCAGATTACAATTCATAGGACAAAGAGAATTCTGTGTATGTGTGTTTTGAGGAGAATTTGAAAAATCTGCAAAGATTATCTTGCTCAGATCAGTTTGAAAAATACCTGAGTGGTGTGTTAAAGCAGACTCATTCTATAGTAGCTCTTTTCATGGTTCTAAGAAAAACAGTTTTCTGAATTTTAGTTTAGTATACACTATAGTATCCAGTTATCAAAAATCAAATTCTTTGACAATCATTAAAATATTCCAAGGTACCTAGTAAAATAGATTTTTATGTAGATAAGGTAGGGTTGAGAATTAAAGATTGAGATTACTATGTATAAATGTGTATGTATAATAGCCTTATTTTGTTAGTAACATTTGAATTAGTTCTTGACAACCCCTTTCTTCTTGATTTTCAATGCACAATAGAAGAGTAAAAAAGTTTTGATACCAACAGCAAAAGTTGTGAGAAAATAATCTGACTTTACCTTTTAAAATGTTAATGTATTTGTTTATTCCTGCAGACTCTTTGTAGAACAAAAAGACTGGAACAATGGTTGCTGCTACAGTTTCAGTGGCAAGTTAATTTTTATGGAGCTGAGGTACAGTTATAATTTTTAAGATTAACTGCCTTACACAGTTAAAGGACACAAACTTCCCTGCTATTTAGTCAGAGCTGAGGAAAGAAATGGATGATTTGCTAATTCTAATCCTCATGTTAGGCTACTTGCACCTCAAAAATGCTATTATTATTATGATTATGATGATTTGCATTCATTTGTAGTCCTGTAAACATTCTTCACCTTGTACCATGACCAATACTTAAAGGTGGATTATTATAAACTTTTCTGAGAGGGAACTGAATATATACTCTTTACACTCTTGAGGTATACCACTGAAGTTCATATTTTGCATTAGTTTTCTTGCAGAATATCAATAATATTAAATGATCAATGTTTTTTTTAATTTTTTGGAGTTAATATTATATTCACAATATCTATTTACACAGTATATGTATAATGGAAGTTTTGGTATATACATTAGAATTTGCTGTATCACTATAAGCAGTCATTAGTTGTTGACATTAATTTTATAGTGTTCATATCGCATAAATATCCAGTATATAAATCAAAAGGAAAATGTTCAAATTATGCCAAATCGTAAATATCTGTTCTTTTTGGTGACCAACAAGAAATACGGATTAAGTTGAGCTTGCATTAAAGTCCTTCAAAACATTCTCCAAATGTATGAAAAATTACCATCTAATGTGGGTAATTCTCCACACCTATTAGTATTGCTGAATGCTGAAAAGTTCTCAGCCTGACCTACTTCTCAAAATCTGACCAAATGTTGAAACTTATTTTTTTTAGCATCCATTGTTGGTCAGGCCAAGAAGATTTTAGAACCCCCTTCTTCATACAAGTAATTTTTTAAAAAAATAGTGTTATTAATAGTTTTAAGCATTTATCAAACATCTACATTGAATAGAGCATATAATCAAATTAATATGACAGTAGAGAAATAAAGAATGGTGTTCTGAAGAAAGAAAAGAGAATAAATTAGACAAAGATGGAGAAGATTGACTAAAAATAAAACAGAAAATAAAAATATCTCTTCTGTTATGAAGTAGGATTTCCTTCGTATTTTATGAATCCATTGATACTGAGAACTGCCCTACCATTACTGCTTGGATTTTTATATAGTCTATGCCTTAGCTATGCTAATTAGGCAGTCATTTACATATCACTATAAATGGAAAAAAAAAATTTAGTATCTGTGAAATATAAAAAATTAATATACATTTTTATATGATGAATCATTTTTGCTCATTAAGTAGCAAGGCAAATGCCAATTTCTTCAATTTCATAAAAGTCCTCATGTTATTTCTATAATCATTAAGGTGACTAGAAGAAAAGAGTAAATTTCATGTCTTTTCTAGAGGTTTAGCAATGATACATCATTACTACATGGATCTATAAACCTCAAAGTTTATCAATAGTTAATTTAAACCTTGATGGCTTTTGATGGCATTTATTTTAGAAATTTTTTCAATGTCTTTTTGTATTGGGTGATACACCTTGCTTCATTTATTGAGTTAAATGAACTGAAAAGTTTCCATTACCACAAGTTTCCATTACCGCTTCTTTATTGAAAATCAAGAGTAGAAACAAAAAATAATCAAGCTGAAAATTGAATATTAAGGTGATTTTATTTGCATTCAATTTTCAGAATTTAAAACTGATCTGGAATTATTTCATAAAGATTATCTATATATTTTGTCATCATCTAGAAGGGGTATTTATACAGGCAAAAGCATTGAGACTATATTCTCAATGGTACAAGTAAAAAAACCTTGTTTGAATACATATTTGAACAAATTTGATGATCATAACTTTTCCCAAATTATGGCATATACTTGCAGTTTAAAAAAAGATTAAACTGTTTCCTTTCTCAGTTTAATACACATTCATTATGCAGTGCTCACATATTCTCACTAAGATTTTTAAATGATTGAAACAAACTTACTCTCTGGCCTTCTTGCTGCCATCATAGACTCCTGTTGGCAAATGGTTGATCAGTCCTAACCGTTGTGCAATTTTAATCTGTTCTTCTTCTGTTAAAAGGTTGGCTGGTCGACTAACATTTGGAGAAGGGTGATATACAGGAACACCTTCCTAGAAACAAAGAAAAATGATAAAAGTGAAACCAAAGTGAGAAGAAAGTTAAAAAAAAAGAAATAGGTGTAATGCAAGCTTGCTTAATGGTCATTAAAGTTCAGTTTATTATTAGCTAAAGTTTTCAGCAACCTTTTTCTGAAAACAAGAGACTGAAAATTGAAAATTATTTTTCCTTTTTTTTTTTACTGGACACGTTTGTCTATGCCCAATAATTGAAGATAAACATTAGAAACCAATAGTTTTTTGCAATTAAGTTAACTGTCTACAATGAGGTACAAAATTTATTGATCATACAGACTAACAGTTTTTTTTTTAACTTGTACACTAGCAAGGTATCTACAAACTACAGAATATTGAAATATATCAGAATATCTGTGACTACAATAATCTAGTCTTTGAGTTTCACAAAGATATTCTGGAGTAAATAACCACAAAATTAAAAGCAAACATATTACATTATATCAAAGCAATGACAAAAGAGGTTGTCTTGCATTATGAGAAAGGTTATTTGAAATTCAGTTTGATCATATTGCAGTGAACATCTGTGTTAGAAAATAAAATGGCTATATTAAACTTACAAGGCTAAGATGCAAAGTGTTTAATGTTATCTGGCAAGAGGATGCCAGGGCTCTTATAATTTAAAACTAAGTATATACAAAAGTTTAATCATCTAAGGTAGATAGTTTTTAACTGGTAAGTATTATAGATTTTACAAGCATTGCTGAAGAAAAAAACCCTTTTATGCTAGTTAGAAATCAGATTTTCTTTGACAAGTGCTAATTAACTAAAATGATTCTACACAAAAACAAATCCATAAAAAGAAATTTTTATTCATTTCTACTCATATGTTTATCCATTCAATATATAAGTGAGAACCAGTGTAGAACAAAGTAATGCATATAGTCACTCACTTGAATCTTTGAGCAAACACTTAACATTATTAAACATGCATGAGAGAACTGAGCAAACACTATGCATCCACATGAGTAGTGTGTTTAAGTCAGTGTATTGGGAAGGGCTATCTACATATTTAAAAGGAATAATGTGCCATTTATATTCTAAGTAACTATCTGCATTTTAAACAAGCCAAATAACTCAAATACTGACTTTTAAGTGAGGTTGTCTTTTATATGTCATTCCAAAACATAAAAAAGTAATATCTAAAAGGTATTAAAGATTTTATAGTCATTAAATGCACTGTTGATGGAATAGCTTTTTGTTTTTTCTTTACTGTAATGAGGTAATGGACAAATCAATTTTATATACATAAAAAACTTCACAAATTGAAGAATGGAACAGGGAGCAATGTTTATTGCATTCTTATGTTATGTCATACCAAGTAAGTCTTACTTGGATATTGTTTTTGCATATTTTAGAATGATTACTGAGGAAAATTTTTTAAGAGGAATTTACAATGTAAAATGGGTTTCTTACTGAGCATCCCTTCTATCAGGGAATGTTTTACTGTTTTTTAATAAAAAGTATTAGTAAGGTAAGCAAGCCAGAGTTTGTCATTCTTATCTTTCTTTTTTACCTATAAACTCTTAAGTCAGGTAAAAAGCATATAAAATTGAGATCTCTCTCAATTAGAAACAAAGATAACCTGGTATGTATGTGCATTTGTGTACATGCATGTGTCTCTGTCTCATTGATTTGATAGGTTGTCAGTGATAACAAGGTTATATGCCTATAGAATGAGAAATATCACATTACAATTTAATATCACCACTGGATAATTATCCAAAATGGCTTGAACCAGTCAAACAATAGTCACACTGACAAGCTACAAATAGCCATGGCAAAATGATCTGGTTAATGTGTAACATGGACTCTCTATATGCTAAATTCATATCTTCTCATTAACAAAAAACTTTGTTTTTCAATTATTAGCTGTAGTAACATTTCAAACCTAACCAGGAAGAAAATAAAAAAAAAAAGAAAATTTTGAAACATTTAAAATTCTAATGTAATTTTCAAAATTTTTGTAAGAATAATTTTTAAAAATAATTCTAGCACATTTTTTTCATTTCCTACACAATGTGATAAAACTCTAAAAGTATCAATTTTTTTAAGAGAACGGTACAGATGAAGAATTACAAACCCTAAATAACAATGTTGACGGACATCAGACTGTGACAGCAAAGAGTAGACCACCTAAAATAAACCTCATTCTTAAGACAATTGATTAACAGTATGAACCTCTAATATAATTTAACTGAACAAATCGCCTAAAGTAGTATTTTACAATTAAAAAATTTTCTGCCAACAACAGCCAATTTTTAAAAAATTTTATTTTATCTAAAAAAGTATTTAAAAAATATCAAAGTTTATTCAGTCATGCAGTATTTTATGGATACTTTTTTTGGTGGGGTGAAGCTGTAGGAGTATTTATATTAAAAGGTAAAAATATTTCTAATCTTTTAATAAATAAATTCAAACATTGATGCAATAAGCATAGAAAAATGTCATACCAGAATATGCTCAAATAATTATTTCTAATAGTGTAAAGTTTATGAAAATTGAGATTAACTTTTTATATGAGATTTAAATGTATTTCTGGTTATGATATCAATCTTGTAAAAGTCTATGAGAATAGTATGAGAAAAATTCCATTGATACAAAGTAATTAAAAGAATCTTAGCCAGACTACAAATTTACATAATGGTTTATTGATATATTAATACAACTTATTTGATTAACCCACAATTAGGACGTGAATTACAACAATTTCATAATAGAAAAGAGTTCCTCTTTAGCGTCTTCTATCACTGGTACATCCACATTAAAATCATTTCACCATATAATAAGCAGAGCTTTTTTGTTCTTTTTTTTTTTTTTTCCAAATGTATCTTTTGGTTGGATGAGAATGATCTCCTTGCACTGGCATATCTATATATATATATATATATATATATATATATATATATATATATATATAGTAGAGAATTAATGACTCAACTGTGGAAAACAAATAATAGTAAGGATTTAAAATGTGCCATCATTTTTTTAAGGCATAGGTAAACTAATACTTACCCTCACCCGAGTAAGCTGATAAACATCCACAATTTTAAGGCTGAGGGATTAATGACAATTTAGTCTTGTAACTTTGAAAAATAGTAGCAAAATGTTTTTGATTTGTTAGAATAGAATTTAAATCTAATTAACTGTTATGCTACTGAGGGTTTGATGATAAAATACTGCATAGAGACTTTTGTTTACATAGTTGCACTGTAACAGTTAAACAAAGCAGAATTAAACTTTGTTGCTTTTGGTTATATGTTGTTTGCTATCTTGGGAAAGAATGGAAATCTTTGGGATATTCCTAGAATTGAAATGATTTACCAATAGGAAGTAAATTAAAACTAAATCAGTTCCAGTGGATTTTGTTTAGTTTATTCATGCCTTATGATTTAATTGGCTTTAAAATAGAGTTCTTTGTTACAATCTCTCAACTAGTGAATATTTACACATGCCTGGTGCATAGCATTAAAACAAGTTATAAAATCATCTTATACTAATGTTTCATAGCAGTATGCTGTTATTAAAAGAAATGGTTATAACTAATCATTTGAATTTTAAAATAATATAGAGTTCCTAAGTTTGATAGTAGAAATTATTTGAAGCTTTTTTTTCCAAGAAAAGAAATAAAAAGAGGAAAAAAGCTTCAATTCATTAAATTATATTCAAACAATTGAAAGGTCATAAGACCCAATGAATATTTTCCTTTTCCTCAACCTTAGATTTATTGATATATGCAATCTAGTCTGACAAGAGAGGAATATTGAGTGGGGGAATCAGTTACATTTAACTGATAATCAAAAATTTAGCCATCAAAATATGATCAATATCTAAAAATATGAATATAACCTTAATGAATACACAACATAACCTGTAATTAAGTACAACTTAAAAATGAACATTGGTTAAATGAAGTATTAATAACACAAGTTTTTCAGAAGCAGAAATAAATACAAAATCATTAACCATATTTGACTTTAGGAAACTACTTTTTTAAGAAGGAAAATGACTATTTCAAAGGGGGTGAGCATCCCTTTTGTTTGTACAATAACAACTTGAATAATCAAAAATAAACTTGTTATATTTGTATATGTATGTGTATGTGTTAGGGGTTGTTGAAAAGTTTTTGACTTGACTTACTTCTGAAACTCTAACTAAACATGATATTATTTTTATTTTTTTAAAGAGATTTCTTGGTCATACTTTTGAATACCACCCCATATATGATTGGCTAGTCAGATATGTGCGCACAAAAAATATCCTGGTAAGATTGCATTAATTTTCCAAACTCAGTCAGGCATGTTTGCATTTTAATTAAAGTGCAATCTGCCAAATGATGCCATCTACAATACATGTATTTGGTTACTGCTTCTCACAAAACAGTTGAAAAACAATTTTAATTAGTCTAGTATGTTTGGTAGACATTTTATTAGTAAATATTGTTTTGTCTGCCAGGAATTCCCAGTCTCTTAATCAAAGCAGCTCAGACTTGATATGTGCATCACTTAAGAATTTTAAATTTTAGAAATATGTGATCACTTGGCTTAAACTTGAAGAGATTGACATAAGGTCTATATTGAGTCTTGTTTGACCATTTGGTTATGAGATTCTTCAGACTATATATTCCTCTTTAAAAGAGTGAAATCAACATTTGATCAGTTATCTTAGCACTTGTTCAGACACTTCTATCAGTTTTCTTGCAGGCAAATCCATACAATTCAAAATCATCAATTGAAATGTTGACTGAAAGTCTTTTTTAAGATGGATCAAGCAAGAAATGTCAGATTTCACAAATGCAAAAAAAGAAAAATACTATGAAGCAAAATCCATACTAAAAATGAATGCTTGTAAACTCAACATTAAGCTACATTACTTGCTTCACTTGATTAAGAATAATTGATAAAAACTTAAAAATAAACTCTATTAATAAATAAATATTAAGCCAGATTAAAAAAAAATCATATAACAGCTGCTAATTA